GTGGACAACTGAGTGTAGAATGAAATTAGTAATGAAGTAATGATTAACTAAGCTCATCACGAAAGCTTCGAGTTCCTTTAAGACGATCAGCATTAAGAGGCGACATTGCCTACTGGTGAAGTGAAGAATCAAACAGAATCCTTCTACGTACGTTTCGATAACCTAAATGGACATTGTTTTTTCGACGACAGATCCGCAAAGAATTGTATGAGAGGAAAAATGAGTGCAGCATGATATTATTGATGAATAGTTTTATAAACCTTGTGTGCCTGGAGTTGTTTGAAGATTACCAAGCTGGAGGCAACATTGCCTTACTGGTGAAATTTAGAATTGAATTCAATCCTTAGATATATGTCAAGACATGGTAAAGAAGGTGACATTTCGATCAACAAAATGCGATTTATTTTACTCCCTACAGATGCGAAAGAGAACAACCCGGCGAGTGTAATTTGACATTTGTAATGATGTAATGATTCACCAACTCAAAAGCTGCAAGCTTCGAGCTATTTGAAGTCGATCAGCAACTTGGAAGCAAAGTTACACACTAGTAAAATGAAGAGTAAAAGGGATTGTTAAACAGTTATAAAGATATCTTGGAAATGTTGACATTTGGCTGAGTTTTAGGCAGATTGTTTGAGCCGATCACAAACAATTCATTGCAAAAGAGGACAACTGAGTGTTGTAGGATTGTCATGGTTCACTAATTCGACCCGTGTAGACTTTGAGCTAGCGCTGTTTGAAGACGTCTATAAACCCGAAGGCAACAATGCCTATTTATAAAATTAAGAATTAAACTGTATCCTTCGAAATTTGTCAAGACATGTTAAAGAAGGTGGCATTTCAATCAAATAAATGCCAATTTCTTCAATCACCAGAGTTTGGTATGGAGTAGAACATCACGCAATATTGTTATCAAGGTCATCCGGCAAGGTACGACCTGCTTTGAGGCAGGACATTCAATTGGGACATCGGCCTGACTGATCTCAAAAGGTGCCTCGGCCACCACAAAAACCACAGTGGTGACTTGTAAGAACAAAAGGGCACTTACAGCACGTCTCATACGTATGATGTCAAGACAGGACTTAAGTCAAATTCAAACATCGGAATCGTTAGTGCGACCCCCTTTCTCGACTTCTAAAAAAGCTTAACGCTGAAATAATCAAGCAGAGTGAAGCTACTTCAGAGCGATCTGTAGCTCAGAAGTGA